TATAAACCTATTTTAATAAATAAACCCTTTATCTCAATTGATGCATAATAGAAATTATTTATATTTTATTCAATTTCTAATTATCCTAAAAATACAGGTAAATATAATTAAGGTAATTTAAATGATATGTTACAGACATGCAGACATCGAATATAATAATTAGTAAACAATTAATTTAAGCCATGGATGTGATAACTCGAGCGAAGAATGCATGTCTGCAGACAAACTAATTATGAAACAAATGTCTCATTTAGTTTAGGATACAATCGATTGTCTTAAATTTGCAAATAACAACTTGAGTGTCAAATACTTGGAGTGCCGATTGTATTCATCAGTTTAAATCAATTTATTTGCAATTTATGAGTGACAGGTGCTCTCATTAATTATAATTGTTTGCCTTTTAATTATACGATTTCTCATCAGAATTAGAAATCAGAAAAGTTTTTCGATAAAAGTCACGAAAGTTTTCGTTTTGAAATAAGTCACAAATACATTGAGTGAATGAATAATTTGTGAATAATTTCAAAATTATAGATTTCGGTGACAATAAGTCTCATGTCCGGCACATTGGGTTGGCATTCATATGCAATAATCAAAATTTTAATCCCATTCGCCAAGAAATATGGAGAGAAAACATAATAGAGAACAGAGTATTACAAATGAGTAGAAAAATTGTATTTCAAATATATTGTGAATATAATATATAATATTATTATTATTACTTTTACGACTGTAGAGCACTGGTAATATATGGGTCAACGAGACCCACTTTTTATTTGATATGCAATTGTTTGATAGGAGAGCTAACATTCACTACAAACACTATTGGAAACTGGAGAGAATGACCTCGAATACTGACAAAAGAGTTTGTATGAGTAGAGTGTTTGGTCTATTTTGTGGCACTTTATCCCGACTTCCTTAAGAATCAGTGCTAACCATATCGTATAGAATATAAGAGAAGGGCAGAGAAGGGCTTCCCCACAGACCCCACTCGGCCTACAGTCCCCTCAGCCGTCTCGCCGTTCACTTGAGGGGCGTTCGTAGCAATCATTTCATATCACAATATAAATGAATCAATGAATCAATGATCAAATGAAATGACTTTTCTATTCCAATACATTCACAACCGAATACACTACACCACAGAATGTGATTTCGCACACATAACGCGTTATCATACAGTCCTAGTGTGCCATACATCCAAGTATTGGCAAAAGTATCTTTTTTATTTTCTCTTATTGAACCACTGAAACATTGAAACATAATTAAAATTACTATTAAACTTAGATAATTATTTAAATACAGTAATTAACTCTTCATAAAATGTATTGCTTTTAACTTTAGATTCAAAATAAAAATGTTTTTGCTAAAGTTAATTATAAGTTTACTATAAATGTGTATAAGATTATGGTTGTTTTTAAGATTTACTGATACTCATGTAAAAATTATTAAATTGAGTTAAAGTCAAAATTTATAAGAATTATTGGTTATATTGTTAGACTTGATCTCATCATAATATAAAATACATTCATAAATAGAGTCTAAGCCAACGGACAAAAGTTTTCCGGCCTTTACTTATTTGTTAAGAAACGCATTATTCCCAACAAAAATGTGTTTTTGTCGATTTTTGCAGTTTTTTAAACTTAAGCCAACAAAATGCAACTATTGGTCATTTTGCTATTGAACATATTTTTCAAATCTTTTAATCAAAAACGGTTAACAATTTTACTTATTTAAGATTAGAAACAAATTTGTATTTTTAGGTTATAGCACATAATATGAATATTAATATTATAACTTTATTAAATAATGTTATATTTTTATGTAATGCTTTGAAATCTTACAATAGGATGCTATAAGCATACTGTACTACAATTTCCAATAAATGTTGAACAGAAGAATTAAGTTTTTCAGCATAATTTGAGGTACAAATACATATTTGCATTTGGATTGAATCAAAATCAAAGTTTTCAATCATAGTTTGCGGCACTTTATGTAAGATTAGAGGAGGCGTTGAGTAAACAGTGAATATCTTTTGAAAAGCTTTTGAAGAAATTGTCGTCATATGCTTTGGCTATACATTTGGCGTCAATTTAATTCTTATTTACAATGCAATACAGAATACGGATCAATACAGCTTTGCCTCAATTATGTGACAAATTGTAGATAAAATTATCTTAATTTTTACAGTTAAATGTAACAAGTTTATTCAAAGTATTCAATATTTCTATAAATTATTATTATTTAACTAACATAATTAAATAATTACTCAAATAACTATCATAAATTAAAAAATATTCTCGGTACATTATAATAATATGCAAAAACAGATAAAACATTATATTTAGTTATACAGTACTACTAAACTGTTATCAATGTTTGTAGTGTTGGTTGTGTTTCATTGGAGATTTGGTCACAGCTTTGCAAATAAACAGTGATATGAAAGACGGCTAAACGATATCTGAAAATATTGTAAATATATTGATAGTTAGACGCGTGGATAGAGTGTTGTTAACAGTAAAACAACTAAAAACATAAACTTAGATAAAAGTTATATAAAAGAGATTTAGGCACAACTGATATGTGATTTGCCTTTCAAATAGTAATAAAGAAAAGATTTGTAGACTTTCTGATAAGCAGTTTATATGATACACGAGTGTGTAATTCAAATCCCTGTCCAAATAAAGCATTACTCGAATACTTAATGAGTGAACTATAGCTCGAGATTTCTGATTAATATTAAATAAAGAATTGAATTATCGATAAACAGTTGGGAAGAAAAAAGTGCTGAAAGTTTTACGTTTGGAAATAATTGACAAAAGTGTTGAAAGTGTATAAAAGTTAGCAATGCATTATATAAGTTATGTTATAGTATTGGAATTGAAGGGAAAGTAAAGCAGAATTTATTTTTTGAAGTTAAAGCGTCGGTACAGGCATTGGCATTGGTATACATAAGCGCAGGTGTGATTGAAATGATTGCATTCACTTGAGTTATGTATAGACTCTGCGGCAATAAAAACGAGAGAATAAGACTCATAAGACTCGTGCAGAACGCGTGCCCAAAAAACTTGAGCCAATTTAGTGTTGAGGCCTCAATATGAGAGTGCAGTGCCAGTGCTGGTGCCATAGACATAACCATATTACCATTGCCAGGTGCGACAAATCAAATTCTTGTTCAGATTCAATGTTTGTACACTTTTCCAACTTTTACTCCACTACTGAATGTCTTTTATATACGCAAACAAAACACGTGAAATGCATTCACAAAAAGCATTTGAGGGCGTATTTTGCATATTAATTACAATTTTATATCACCAACCGATGCAATACTGTATAACATTAAACAAGATTTGAATTAAATTGAAAAATATTTGAAAGCCAAACACTTTTAAACAAAAGAAAGATATGTTTTAGTGAGAAGTAAGATGTGATTCATTTAGAAACAGAAAGAGGAGGTGTTGTCAACACTTATTTTGTTAGTTTTGCGCCAATTGTTGGTCAACTAAAATGCGTGCAAATATTGACCAATACATTTAGTGGTCATTTGTTTGGATCTATTGTAACCGTTAGACTGAATTCAGTTTCCTTTTGAATGCTGTGCCGCTGTTTTGCACACTTTTCGCTGTTATTTGCTTTTCATCCAAATATTCATATTTTGACGGATTATCAAGCATTACATTATGTTTATGTAATGAATTTTTCAAAAACAAATCACTAGTTGCTTTATTTGTTTGCTTTTAGTAGAAATATTTCTTAATATTATTAATTTCTTCTTTAAAAATTCTTTACAAATACTTTCTTTTATTAAAAGAAACAAAAATAAAAATCATTTTCATTTCACAACTCATTTTTATAACTTATTATATTATTTACTAATATTTTATTATAAATGCTAACAAATAATAATTGATTATAAGATAATGTCATTTATAAATTATGAGCAAAAAGATAAGACTTAATAACATTTTGTATTGTTATAAAAATTAGTGATTTTTCATTTGATAATTAGATAATTTCCATGAACTACAACAACAAAGCATTAAATCATTACAAAGTTTATATTAAAGTTAATAATAAAAATATATTCAATTATAGTACGAAGATTTAAATTAAAAAATTGCATTCAAAGAATATTGCATTCATACGAAAAAAGTTAATCAAATGAGAGTGAATGCAGTTTTTGAAATGTACTATATTTTAAAACATTATTTTCGTGTCATTTGATCTATAGTTTAATATTTGTTGTATTGGAGCGATAAATACAATAATGAATGTCTGGATTCTGCACACAAGTGCTCTAACAAGTCATTGAAAACATTAGAAGTAAAGGTATCTTTAAAAATAGAGAGTTTGTGTAAAAAAGATTGCAAACACATAGAGGGAACCCCCGTAGAGAACGGGAGAGAGGGAACAACACATACCGACGTCAGCCCCGCATAACTGGCTGTAAACCTGCCTTTTGGAGACACGCGAACGAATAATTTACAATAACTCCGCTCAGGCTATGGCTCATAGGAGGAGCTTTAGTTCGGCCAAACCAGGTATTAAACTGAGGCAGTCAGCGATCAGGTACTCAGTCTGTCGTACACTGCTATACCCCAAACACATCCACCTAAGAGTCCTACTATTCTTTGCTCTCATCTCAAGTTTTTTTTCATGTAATTCATACCGATTTCAAGCAAACACTGCCACCACTGATCACAACGGATCACAACTTGTTGACAATCACCCTCAACAGCATAGGGACCAACCAACCCACTATACCCCACAGCCCTTTACTGCTTATTATCGGTTTTGTGCTTTTAAAGCATTTATCTCGTGTTTAAAGCTTTCATTCTTTTAGTGAAAGTTTTTACTAAATGAAAGTCAATTAACAAGTATTATTAATTAAGTGATCATAAACAAGTAAATTTAAGATTTCTAATTGAAAGCTTTATAAAGAGCTAACTTAAGACATAATGTCATTCGCGTCAATCAAATTGGAGCCGTCTATTCATATGATGCAAACAAACACATCTTCCAGTGCTCTAAACGCATCCCAAACCAGTGTTAAACTGCAGCCACTTTTGGCAAAAAAGTCCAGTCCCTCATCAGTAATGAGCGGACAAATGTCTCCCACAACTTCCATGTCATCATCAATGGGTTCTCCAGAACTTCTTCGCTGTAAACGAAGAATAAACTTCGGAGGTCTGGGATATGCCATCCCTCAGACACAACCGGCAACTGTCGCGCGAAGGAACGAAAGGGAGAGAAATCGTGTGAAGATGGTTAACATGGGATTCGCGACACTCAGACAACACGTGCCAAACGGTGTCAAAAACAAGAAGATGAGTAAAGTGGAGACATTGCGCTCTGCCGTCGAGTATATCCGAGAATTGAGAGAACTTTTGGGCGAATCCGACGATATGAGTGTCGAAAAGTAAGTCATATTTCTTTGCCATTTTTTGTGTTAAATATTAGTTGTTTGGCTTATGTTTAATAAAAAAATGCAAATCTATAGCCACTGTTCAGAAAACTTACAACAATTGCTAGCGAGCGATGAGAACTGGAACCCGAGTCCATCGGTTTTATCGACGTCTGCAACTCTATCCTCTCCGACATCAATGAGCTATACATGCAATTCAAGCGCTAATTCATCGATGCCTATGAGAAAAGCGCCGAACTCTCCCTCCTCGCCAAATATGACGACCTCTCCCTCGCCGAGTATGGGCTCCGATGCTTCGTCTCCTTACGACTCATTAGATAGTATGGAGAGACAAGTTTCGCCCGAAGAAGAGGAACTTTTTGATTTCACCAATTGGTTCTCCTAATGAGGTAATGAAATATTAATTAACTATTTTGTAAATATATCTGTAAATCACTTCTTTAGTGCTTTCATTCTTTAAATTAAATCTATTGTAAAGACTTATGTGTGGAGTGAATGTATTCTTTATATTTATGCAAAATTGAGAGCATTTTGTTGTGAAATGAGAAGAACTAATGAGCGGAAACAGACTGACCTTCGAGTGTATAGAAGTGCTGCCGGAGTTGTCTTAAGACGATCGGCACATATATGATAGCATTGAGCTAATGGTTAGATAATAAACTAAAAGATATAGTAAACTAAAAGATTGTAGTATCTGTTGCTAATCTACACTCTGTATTAGTGTGTCATTTGAGTGCCGGAAAACACTTTTTCCGGTACTCAATGAAAAGCATTTACTTTTAAAATATGAATAAAGCAATTCTTTGGACATTTGATTCAAATGTAATGTTATGATGAGGAAATTTACGAAAACTTTTTTTATATTATTGACTCAACCAACGAATTGTATTTTTGCATTTGAAGAATTAGAGGATCTCTACCGGGCCTACTATTCCTACAATTCAAACAATAGTGTATATGAAGTGTACATAACATGAGAGGATTTGTGATGAATGTCAGATTAGTTGTGTTAGCGCTTAGATTGGGATTCCTTTGAAGCGTCAACTGATAGAATCTGTACTCATATTATAGACACATATTATTCTGTAATGCATTGCAATGCGAGCGCACGCGAGCTCTGAGAGAAGCCAAATATATCTGATTGTAATGTAGAGTCTGTACTGTATTCGCACACACACGGCTCACAATACTATACACTACAGTATTGTGTATAAAACTCCTTTGAAAAACACAGAAAGAGAGGGGGCTCTGGACTCTGGGGCTCTCTTTTTCTTTTCTCTCTACAGTACACATCTTCAATGCCTTTTCATATCTATGAGCGCTCAGCCCTATGCTCTGTATACAGTTCCCCGATATGGGACTCAGAGTACAATACTATTTTGTCCTTTTGTCATAAGAGATTTTTAGAGGTTATCGAGATTTTTTACAACAGCTCTCAGAAGGCCCTAACACTGGCCTTAACCATCACAATCCCTGTGCTATGTCTTCAATTTAAACATATTGTATGTCAAAAGTTGTCTCAAATTATTTTCAATTTGTTAATTACAAAATTGATCATTAGTTTAGGAATTGAATAGAATTAAACAACTAATTTTATATACAAAATTAATAAATATATTTCTTTATTAATCAATTTTATAGTTACACATTGTATTCATTCTTATAAGACTATTATACTAGAATTAAAGTTAGCTAGATTATAATTAGAGAACATTGGAAAGATATTAAATTTAGTCAATTAAAGTTTTGTGAAATATAAGAAATGTTTGTGAAATACTATCGAAAAAGCAAACAAAATGTGAGCGAATATTGGATTCTTTATTGTAGACATTCCCAGAGCTACCAGAGCTTAGAGTGGAAAACATGAATGGGTTGCTAAGATTTGCTTACATTTTGCCTGACGGGGAGTTTGAGATGGGAGCTAAGGTGCACCACTACCTGCAATCGCATTCAAATGAATAGTTGAGAGCACACAGAGCACAGGCACTTGTTTATCCATACAGTGGCTTATAATGGAATCTATGGTCGCAATGGAAGTGCATTTTCTTTGAATAGAAACTCTGCTAAAGATTTCCTTTTCTCGTCTTATTTAAGTCCAATTCCCACCCATTCCTTCTTTACTCACTCCATAACATGCGATCAAATGTTCAAAAAATAGAGAGAGAGAGAGAGAGAGAGAGAGAGAGACGCCCAAATGCAGAGAACTTGCCCTTCCATTCGGACAACTATAGTGAGCCGGCTTATTATTTGCACCAAATAATGCCATAACTTATGGATTATTTATTATAGAAGTCGTGTTTTCAATAAAATCTTTAATAATATTCTAAAAAATAGGAAATCATTACTATTTCTAACATTTCCTAAAATTTAATACAAAATTCTTTATGAATGAATGTTTACTTACATTTCACAAGAATTCACATTTTAATAATTTTGTAAGCAATAAATAGATTAAGAATATGTTTGCACATGTAAGAATATACGAAAAGGTGTTTAATGCTTACCAGTTGGAATAGTCGAAACTTTAAATTCAATATATTCAGGCATTGCTTATTTGCCATTCACTGATCAAATGTCAAAAGTATGAGACAAAGTAGAATACAAGAAAGAAAATAAAATCCTTTTTACTATTTGTTGAAATCAAATACTTAAGCTAATGTTCAATTCTTTGTTCATGAAAACCCTATTCTTAAGTTTTTAAACATTAGTACACAAATAACTGACTCACTTATTATTTAAGTAATACCAAAAAATAAAATATTTTAAAATAATTTTGTTTATTATGTTTTTTCAGAGCAATAAATCTAAATAAATACCAATTAATGGCATGGATTTGAAGACAACGGACAAACAATTGGCTTTACCTTCAATTCGCTTTACTTTTCGAAAGAAATAATTTGTGTAAATATAGAGTGTATTTGAAATGAAAACATTATTTTATGTTTGAGCTAATGTATGAGAAATGTGTGACTCTTTTAGTTAGACTAAGACTAACTAAAAAATAAGATTCCAGACAACTATACGTAAAGAGTACATGAATTTGAGAAATTAGTTATCAATTGTTGCGTTAATACGAAACATAACATGAAACACAAGAACAACAGAAAGCATCAAAACAAACGACAATTTGAATGTAATTTATTAGCGTTTGGTTCGTAACACACATTAAAGGTTTGGTTTGATTCGTGTTTGGAAATATAGTTTATTAAAAGTGTGTTGAAAGTGGTTAGCGTTGAGAACATTTAAACGAATACAACATTGAGAATAGGGTAGAGTGTGTGGTGTATAGCCGTATAGTTGTATAGTTTGGTGATTGCATTGTATGGCAAACGCAACTCCCAGGCCGGAGGGCATTACGGCGTGAGAGCGCAATTCCTGACACACAGCCACCACTGTATTATACAGGCTATACTACATATAAATACTACCACTACTACTGTCTATCCGTTTTATACATTCAAATGAATGAAACATTTCTTTACGGAAGAGGAAATCCTCGATTCGACGCCAAAACTACTAATCAGGACTCGAATCCAGTGTTCAAAAGATCCCAAAGTTATTCTTCTATGACTACAGTATTATTTGAAAAGTGCATTAATTTCATGTATAATTACACATTACTTTTGTTGTCCACTTTATTATACATTTGTTATAACTTATAAACTAATGCTTTCTTTACAAAAAAACACTTAATGTTAGTTCAATTGTAAATTAGATTCATTTTTTGAATACATTATATTGTAATATAAGATTTGAGAAGCATATTTCTACTTAAGTTTATATTATATACCATTTTTATATAAATATATATTCTTATAATAACATATTCTTTATTATTGTATAAAACAATGAAATATTTTGCTCAGGTTTAAAGGCACCGACCAAATGTCTATATATGTCTAAAAGTTATTATTAAAGTCACAATAATGTTCCCAAAAGTGAATACATTGTAAAAGTTATATCAAAGTTCACTAACAGAAAGACCATATTTGGTGCCACAACTCAATTCATTTGTTATATTTTTTCAATCAATAGTCAATAAATTAAAACTTTTATTCTACAAGTATTTGATAAAAAAATATTTAAAACATTTCGACTTTATATTAAACCCAAATTTGACAATAATTTTTATTAACAAAGTCCATCCAACGCTCAATCAATCAGACATTAAATTTAATCAAATATTTACATAAATAAAGTTAAATTTATATTTATATTTGTATTTTTATATATATTAATTAGATGAAACATAATTTGCTTACTATTTTATTGTAATTCATATAATAATTATTTTAAGTGTTACATATTTGATTGTTAAATAAAATTAATTTTATTAAATATTTGTCCTTTTATTATCAATTAGAAATATTGCCTCACTTTCTTTCTTACATACTTTAAAAGTTTCTCAACAAATATACAGTACATTAAAATTTACCAGAGTTACTTTTATCCAGAATTCGTGTTTATTCCAAAAAATATATTTAAAAAGTTTTTCAATCTTGAGTGAAAAAGTTAGTTTCGTTTAGTAATTATTTTTATGCTTAAAAAGGCAGAATTCAAAAGTATGTATTGAATACAATGAATACAATTATAATATTTTTTCATATGAATGCATAGAATTGGAGTGAATGTGTGTCGGACTGGCAGTCAGTACTACACGTTAGGAATATTGTGTTTCTGTGAACACAAACAACAGCGCAAACATGTTTTCAATTGCAAACTACGGCCCGCTATAAATTATAAGATAATACATACCTTATAATTTAAGGCATAAAATATTTTGAGAGCTACTGATCCACAACAATGGATACAATATCTCTATGCAAATCTACTCCAGTATTATAATGTATTAGGGCTCAGACGAAGACTTAATTTAAAACCTAGAAAATTGATGAAAAAACTTATTTTTAAAAGTATTTATTGAAAGTTACAATTTTTCTATTTAAGTTATATTGAATGTTGAAATTATAGCTATTTTAAAGAATCCAGTGATATGTATACAATACTGTTGTGAGTGTTGATTATGAATGAAAATCTAATAGAAATTGGATTCAAACAAATGAAGGAAACATATGGCGAGTATAAGTAATAATAATTTGTAACACAATTGTTTGGTTCCTTAATAATAATTATATAAAATTGGCAAATGTATGTAATAAGAATTGCATTCATATGTATATTTTACAAACAAAAGACATTTAAATTCATTGCGATATGCAATACATTACATGTGAACACAAAGCAATGCATGGATTAAAACCCAATTCACATCTATCTCTCAATATTAGATATGATTAATATTTATGTATGATATAAATACAACCATATAAAGTGATGCATATATTCTGTGGGAAACCCTTACAATTGGTTCTCCCATCGAATGGA